GATCTGTGAGTTAGCCGTGCCCTGACTCAAATCAGCCTAGAAGTTGTTTCAGGGTTCGATCTGTCTATTTTTTATTTTGACTCCCAATTGTTTCGTTATCATTTTTTCCCCTACAAAACAGATTATTTAGATTTTAATTAGAACATTCCAAGCATGAAAATATCCTATTGTGTCTCTTAAGGACGTCATACCGCAGCATTCAGTTCGTTTTTATACTCCAACATTCTAATTTTACTTCAGAATAATTAAAAATAACGAAGCCTATCGTAAATATTCTTTATAATCGCGATAATCACCCAGCTATTCTAACTCTATTTCCGGACCTTTTTTACTAATCGCAAACCAATCTCATTATATATATGTACAATGTGCTAAAAATATTTCAACAAACTTATTTCGAGGCTTCATTTGCGCTAGGCGCTTCTAATGGACGGGGGGAAATGTCTTGAGCGCTATCGATAGAACTGCTAATAGCTGGGTTGGATTGGCTAGAACGATCCCTTTACAAGCACTTGCGCGGCAAATTTCCTTTTGACTTATTGGTTTTACAGAGTTGCATTAGCTTATCTCAACCAATTTGCAATGAATTTTACTTAATCAATCGTTCTGAGGAAATCCCAGTTGAAGGACGCCGCGCGCGTGGTACATGCGCGCGCAGCATACACGAGGACATTTCGTTTTTAGGTCTTKATCGAATTCATAAAGTCACTTAAATGGCCACGAAATGCTGTTCCAATTCCATGTTGGGCTTGATAAAATATCGTAAATATATGGAAATATCAACCTTCACTTGAAACCACTGTTTAGTGGTGATAGATTCGACTGATTACACCTTTTAATGCTTCATTTGATACCCGCTCCCAAAATACTTTCCCGCTCATTTTCTTCCCTACTGATTCATTTATATTCCCTCAGTGAGTATAGCCAGACTGAACAGAACAAAAAAAAAAAAAGTGTGCAAAGGACTCTGGTAGTGGTAATGAATAAACTAATCTAAACGACCTATATTCGTAAAAGCTTATTGTGATAGAGGTTTTGCGCGATGACATGATGGCAGCCATGTTGTATGGCAGGGACAATAYAATTGTTTTACGGCATGGGAAATAATTCAGTTACTCAGAGTGTTTTTGGTTTTTAGTTTGGAGCAGCTATTCCCTCCCTATATATGCGACTGGCTCGTATGACAGTGTTGTTTTTTTAATTCAGATACCTACGTCAAAGTGGCCATGTTCAACTCAATTGGCCAGCAGTTATCCAAGAGCAAGACATCCATTCGCCGTAGCATGTACGACCCAGAATTCAACGAAACATTCGTCTTCCAAATCATTGAGTTTGAATTACCAAGCGTCAGTTTAATGTTCTCCGTTGTTAATATTAAGAAAATGCGACGAAAAGAAATCATTGGATGGTTTTCCATGGGCAAGGACAACACAGGAGAGGACGAAGAGTCTCACTGGAAGGAAATGACGGGAGGTAAAGGAAAACCAGTCAGACGATGGCATGTGCTTAGCGCTGTGGACTATTGACCTTAATTATACATTATTAGCCAACTGAAACATTCAATATTTATCAGTCAATGCTCTTGCATGTAGTGAGAGTGATTTTTCTTCGCCTGTGAAAGAATAGTCAACGTTATAGACCAAATTCAAAACTCGCACCGATGTGAGGCTTAAGTTGTGAACAAAGGAATATGGCGTGATTCGTGACTTTTGAATACGCCAGATTACTTTGAGTCACGCCAGATCCCTTTGTTTGCAACTGAAGCCTCACATCGGTGCGAGTTTTGAATTTGGTCTATACATAGTAGTAGACACGAAGTCCATTTTTGTTTTGTTTTGTTTTGTTTTTGTTTCTTCTTTACTTCGACTGTTAGTCACTAATTAGACAATTTTGTTTCACGGGCCAAGTTAAACTTCTCTTTTGGGTTATCGCTGAAACTCGACCATTATCAAATAATACCCTTCAACGATAACAATTTGYAATTGCGTAAAGAGTGTGTTATTAGTCATTCCGAGGTTGAGTGATAGCCTGGTTGGATTTTGCATTGTAGTGTATTGCGGGGCTCCTTTAGGGGACCAAATAGACGCCATCTTGGAAATATGTCCACTAAAACAGTCCCACAATGCACTGCGATGCCAACTAGACCCAGTCCAATTCAATCAACCTCGAAATGGGAAATATAGGATTTCAAATTGGAATTTATATACGCTACTATAAGATAAAAGAATGTTTATGTAAGGGAATTACCGCAAGTAGGATTTATTTATTTATTTATTTATTTTTGACCAAATCAGTAAAGGGACAGTCAAGGAACATTTCAAAGTTCTAGATATATTTGCCAAAGGAGAAAAACTGTGATAGCGGGTTTAAGAGCAGGTCTGTAAAATCTCGCTAATTATGCTATTATCATTAATTATTCAGYGCAAAAACTGTAAATTTATCAAACCTTTAACTGACGTTTCAACTTGGCCTATTGGCTACTTGATTACAGGTAGCACATGCTTCTAGCTCAAGATTAGGGCCTGCACTTTCCCCTCTGTATTGGGTGTATTGTATTCCCATCCGAGTTTTAGACTTCGTGTCATGATCTTGAAAATAAGATTTTTTAAGACTTTGTGCATGTTCCCCTCTATTAACTATGCTTTGTGTGAGTGGTATTCATAAGGCACCATTAGACAAAGAAATCATACATTAGGGATTGACACATGGTCTGAAATGGAAAAATATTACTGGATTCATTCAAGTGACGTCCACGACGTTTGTTTTTGTTTTGTTTTTTCCTCCTAAAAACGTCTGTAAAATTGTTCGTTAGCTTTAAGAAAGCTTCTTGTAAATACCCGAAATTGGAACTAAGCACTTATTATGAAATAGTATTTGTCTGCAATAGTGACGTAACAGATCAAATTAAAACGAGAGCGAGTGTTTGATCAGAGCATCCAAACTTCGAGAAACAGATGAAAGATGCTTTTTTTGTTATGAGGTGTTTGGATGGCCTGATCAAACACGAAGCACGAGTTTTTGAACTTACTTCYCAGTCTCATCATAATTCATTTGTTCTTGAATCTCCTGAGACTAAAAAAGTGAACAGTGTTTTGACCAGTGTCTTGATCCGTTTTTCGATCAAGCATCAAGGTGCGTRCATGCGACTACAATGCAAAGCCGCCATTGGTCATTGACTTTATGAATTATTAATGAGTTTAAGAAAACTAGCTCCAGTACAAGTGGAGAACTTAACCTGGTGTAGAGGTTATCTAAGTCTTTCTTTTCTTTCAATGAGGGATGAGCTCTATGTAATTTTCCTTTGAAATCTCTCCTTTTTGTCGTGCAGCTAGTTGCGCAATGCACTTCGGGATTCATTGCTAATTTCTTCTCGAGCTATCCCATGATCCTTTGAAAGAAAGGAGGAACTTAATTACTGACTCAAATGCGTAAAAACACACCTGAAATTGCCGGTTTATGTAAAAAAAAAAATCAGACACTTGGGAAAAATAAGGGATATAAATTAATTTAAATTGGGTCTATTTAGGAAGAAAGAATCTTACGAAGATTTTTGTAATTTTGGAATTCTTTGTAAGAGAATTTCTTGTTATTTGTTTAAGTTTTATTAAATTTTTCGTATCACAATAGCCAAAGTAGAAAGTTAAAGTATTTTATTCAGTTGTTTTCCCCCCTCAGTATTAGACATGCGGACAATACTAAACGAAAATTTTGGTAGAGTAACTTGTCAAATATAGAACTCTTTACCTTCGTTGTTTGTTCAATTCAGACCATGTGACGCTACTCTGGGGAGTTGAATCTTTCGTGTGTACATATTTAACATTTTTGTCATAAAAGATCCATTCTTAGGAGTATATTACTTGGTATGAAATCGGCAATTTGCATACGAAGGTAAAGAGGTCTAATGTAAACCTATTTTTAATAGGTTTTTGGGAACGAAAGGAGATAACTTGGTTATAGGCGTGGCTGAATTTTGATTTTGATTTTATTTTGTCGTTAAACTGACTATGCCAGCTACACCAGACTAATATATTTGATGGAGAGTTCTTTGTTTGTAGAAAGCTTTAATTTTTTTCTTGGCCGCTCTTAAAGAGCCGGGCCACCAAGCACTAAAAATGGCTTGAATAGAATGACTAGTGTATCTGTTTTTGCCAGAATTCTCGTGACAAATACGAAGTAAATACTGAGATATCAATTCAGTGTTACTTGTATTCGAGTCGGGCATTATCAAACAATTCCATCAATTATTCTCGTTAAAATACATGCTCATGTTTCCTTTCCGTCTTGGACCCCGAAAATCTTTTTAGAAATAGGAGTATAACAAATAAAACCATTGCCAAATGTTGTCGAGTTAGTGCGAGCTTATTATATTTGAGGTCTTCTAGTACAAAAGCACAAATAAATGACTTTACGATTTATTTTATTTTATTTCCATCTTTGTTTTGAGAACTAAAAATAAATTGAATTTAACCCATAATGCATTGCGGGCAGTTTTCCATACGACTCAATTCAAGATGGCGGACGTAAAGAGTTCAGTCCAGCCAGGTCCAAGTCCTTTGACATGCTATGCGCTGAGATTAAAGCCAGGGGATAATATTACAGATATGTTAATAAAGTTCGTAGAAGATAATAATCTTAAAGCAGCATTTGTTCTGTCGTGTGTTGGAAGTGTTACGAGTGCTACTCTACGAATGGCTAACGCGACTGCCACCACCCCTAACACGGTAAGTCTTACAGATATATTCTATATTTTAACTCGTTGTTTTCTTTACACTACGTTCTGAATAAGATATTGTTAATGACAATAGCCAATATCTAATAGTTTATATATTTTTATATGTTTAATTCAAATATAATTCTTGACTAAACTTTGCTGTTTTCTCTCATGGGGGTGGGGGTAGGTAGAACCGTTTTTTTTTTTTTTTTTGTTCCACCACAATAGATAATCAATACTCAGGTTTTTTTAACATAAAATTTATAAAAATAACTAAATTACTATGGAGACTCCTTTGGTGGGATTCTGTATTTTTGTCCTCCATGGAGTCTATACCCTTCCCACCCATGGCCACTTGAAGAAAGTGTGCATAAATATTCCTTAGGCCAAGGGAATGAAAGTTATAGATTGTCTTCCACCGCCCGCATGGCCCGCAAGATACMGCACAAAATTTTCATTTTTTTACTAAAAAATCATTATTTATAAAAATAAAGCTTTTTWAAAAAAATAGAGTCAATCATCACTTACTTTAAATTAGTAATTTGAATATTATGAAAAACAGAAAATGGCAAAATAAAGCAAAGCAAAAATTAGAAATATGATGGCATGGTTGCCAGTCATTAGATTAGCCATTGATCTGGGCTTCCTGCTTCATCAAGCACCTGTTCATGGTTTATGAAAACTGTTCGTTGTAGCTTCATCTGGAAATGTCTGAAACGACTAAAAGCATCTTTTAAGAAAATAATGAATAATGAAAAACAGCYGCATGTGTTTCAAAAAATTTTCGGGTGCAAATCTATGACCTTCATTCCCTTGGCCTTAAGGGAGGGGAGACAGGGTGGGAAGCAAGGGTGAGAAACATTGGTCAATTACAATTTTTGACTTTCAAACTCAGGTCTATTCTTTAAAATTTAAATGCAAAATGTAATTGTGCACCCAAACTTTTAATATATAAGTACGATGCGCAGCCCTACTATTCTTTATGGAAATCCAAACTTTTTTTTTTATATAACAATAATTCAGATATGGTACTTTATTTATAGATTAAAGAACTACATGACAACCGTTATGAAATAGTATCTCTGGTGGGAACATTATCAGCCAATGGTCATCTTCATGCATCATTATCAGACAAGGATGGTAACGTCATAGGGGGGCATGTGATGGGGAACATGATTGTATTTACAACTGCTGAAATCATAATTGGTGAGTGTTCTTGGTTGGTTTTCAACAGACAAATGGATGCTGAAACTGGATTTCCTGAATTGGTAGTACAGCAACRGCAATGGTGATCTGAGAACGATCATTTTGTTACAAATACTAGATGTATTATGTATTTAACAATAACATATTTCTTAATGATTAGATCATGTAAATTATTGGTCATAAATTACACTGGAAATATTGTTCCATTTTGCATTTTGAATGCAGTTTGATAGTGTGTGAGGTTTAATAGAAATTAAACATGTATTGCAAAAAAGATAGAGCGCTCACACTAAATCCGTGAAACAAATACTAATTTTTAGCAYTAAATAGTGATAATTAAACAATAGAAAACAAAGGATTCTGTATGAAATAGTACTAATTAGTACCATTTAATGTTCACGGTTTTAGTGCATGCACTCTATAATCTTTCTTTTTGATGTTTTTAACATTTCTCACAGTCTAATATATTCTACAATAACACAGTTGCTTAGCATGGGCTAATATTCTAGAAATGTTAAAAGACTATCAAAAGTTTTTGAAGTTTTTGATCTTAATTGTGTCATGATTATATCACTTGTTTGCTTCAGGATCCATTGTGACACTGATGCCAACAGAATCTTCCTCTCTTGTTATCTTGTACCTAAAGACACAAACAAAAGAAAAACAAAAAAGTTAAGCACAAATTAAAAAACTCATTAATAATTCATGAAGGAAACCCAATAGAATTCATGACCATGAAGGAGGTTTTATATCTGATATAGATTCGTCTTCATTTGCATAAACTTTAACTTGGATTTTCTCTATCAAACTTGGTTCATTTCGTAAAGAATTCAGTACAATATGAGAACATACATCATGAGTTTTTTAAGCCGTTCGATAAACTCRCAGATCGTGTTTTATCAGGTCTAAAAATACTCGGCTATGCCTCCTGTTTTTAATTCCTGATAAAACACTTCTACTCGTTTATTAAACACTACGTAAAAAGGTCTATGGTCTTTTTCACTTACACAACCACCTASTCCCTCGATCATGCAGTCATACTGATTTATTCATTAAGTCATTAATTAATTAATTAATGATTCATATATTACCTTTATACCATACCCAACACTACAATAACTCACTCTGATCCAGTACAAATACTCTAATTACTCACTTATTCATTTCATTATTTAATAATATTTCATTTATTTAGCCATTCATTCATTCCATTCATACTATAAGTATATACCAACATTATTAGTCCAACTACTCACTCCGATCCAGTAGGAATAATAACAACACTGTTTTTCTCCATCTGTCTTGTAACATCACCAACAACCACACTAGCTTTGCCCTCCTACAAAATAATAGTATCATGATGATACCTAGCTGTTCTATATTCAATTCAGTTCAATTCAGTTTTATTTGGCACAATTATTACACTTAATTATATTTATAAAAATGAACTATTATTACATTTACATATTAAGGTAATTATTATTATTTTACAATACATGTAAATTATGCTTARAGCCTAAATAAACTGGGGAGTTTTCTAGTTAGGTTATAGCCATTTGAAAGATATTTTTCCCTTTTAATTGCAGCGAGCAAAGCCAGCAGCGAAACTAATCTCGAAAGGGTTACGGGGTAAAAATTCCTGTTGTTTCTTGGCCGTGAGAGATTAGCCACTTATTTGGCCAGATTTATACTGGCTTTTTATTGTTGTGACTAATTATATAGATTGTAAAGYGGATATTGTTTTTAGTGGATACTACGTCAGAGATGGTATCCACTATTTTGTCATTCAGATTTGGAGGTGTAAGAAACCCATATCACGTGATGATCAATCAACCCACCCCTCCCTCAATGATGAATTTTCACGTTACGAACAACTTAGAAATTCCAATATGGAAAGAAACCCATATCACGTGATGATCAATCAACCCACCCCTCCCTCAATGATGCATTTTCACGTTACGAACAACTTAGAAATTCCAATATGGCGGAATTCCAATATTGTTGTGACTAATTATRTAGATTGTAAAGCGGATATTGTTTTTAGTGGATACTACGTCAGAGATGGTATCCACTATTTTGTCATTCAGATTTCGAGGTGTAAGAAACCCATATCACGTGATGATCAATCAACCCACCCCTCCCTCAATGATGCATTTTCACGTTACGAACAACTTAGAAATTCCAATATGGCGGCGAAGCGAAAGGTACTTTACCTCGCTTTCAAATTTCTAAAGAACTAAATAAATTGACGAAAACAAAGTACAAACACATCTGGTTTGGTATTGTGATTATAACACCAGGGGGTATTGAAGTATATTGTTTAGTTCCAGAAAATATCCTCATCCCTACCCACAGAGGATGATTGGAATCTTCAAGGGGTGGGGAGGGACTGAGGAGGGTATATTGTGTAGTTCTAGATAATATCCATACCTCACCCACAGGGGTTTTTGGAATTTCCAAGGGGTGGGGAGGGTCCGAGGAGGTCACATTGTTTAGTTCCAGAAAATATATCTTCATCCACACCCACAGAGGAATTTTGAAGTTCTGGAGGGGAGGAGGTCAGAAAAAAGGACAAAATTACATAGTTTGTATGGAAGAAAATTGAATGTTCCTTGGGGTAGTGGGTGTTTTTACAAATCCCCTATGTGATGGGTATGGATATTTTCTGACACAGCTACACATTACTGCATTTAGTTTTACAAAATATCCACATCTCCACCATATTGTGAGAATAGTCCCCTTCACGGTTCCCTGCACCATCTTGAAAGGTAGCCGGGCCTTTGCATCAAAGCAACACGAAGGGTGAGCTTGCGATGATACTAGAGACCTGTGAATAATTGTCCAAGGTATGTAAAAAAGGTCTCTGTCATCGCAAGCTCACCGTTCGTCTCGCTTGGATGCAAAGGCATGGTTACCTTTCAAGATGGCGCAGGGAGCTGTGAAAGGGACTATTGGTTGGAATTTCCAAGTGATGGGCAGAGTCTGGGGAGGGTTTTAATATGCACATTCTTTTGGACATTCTTGGAGGAGGAAGTGGAAGTGTACAAATTTCTGGAACTGCATGATGAGCATACTTTAGGGAATAACAAAAAAGTAATTCCAACATAAATTATATTCACCATATGCCAAAGCCAAGTTTCTCCTTTTGAAGTGCCTGTCTGTTCACCAGCCCCATRAACAGTCACCTAACAAAACAACAAAATAATGTCTAATGTCTTACAAYAAGATGTAGACAACCGAGGCCATTAGCTTACTAGGAGTCTCTTGCAGCTCAGGGGTAGAGGATCTGACTAGAATACAGACGTCCATTAGTTAAATTCCCATCCACAAGGAGTTGTGTTATTTTTGCTGTAAATTATACGCTAAATAATTTAATTTCCAATGTCTAGATAAAATACAATACCAAAATAGAATAGATCGCAATGGATAAAGGAAAGGAACAGAAAGGAAGAATAAGAGGAAACTGAAGAAAATGGATAGAATTCCTATTCAGTTAGAGTTCCTATGGTTGACATACAATGTTGGTGCATTACCTTGATTTCTCCTTCATCAAGCACATCTTTGCTGCTGTTCTCATAATCACCCTTGTTATCCTGCAACCACTGATATATACAATAGTGACTGAGTGAGTCTTTTGGCTATAACTAAAAAAATATAGTTTTAAGGAATGTAAAACGTGCACACGTGTTTGAACTGTGATATATACACACGCTGGGAGGTGTAGAGCATGAGAAGCAAGCTTAGGAACACGAGTTTACTATATAAACTATTATATATTATAGTTTTTTGCAGGACAAGTATACTGTTCTCCCATGTGCTTCTATCCTAACATAATATAAATTATCCTATAACATAATATAAGCAACTGATAAATTTTATTACAAACCTGTTTAAGAGAAAATGATGGTTGCAGTTCAGTCTCAGTGTCAACTTTCAAGGGAGGTTCATCCCATATGTTGCCTAGCAACAAATCAAATGAAATTTAGTGATTGTAGTGCTTCCAGAAAACATTATGCACATTGATTGGATGAATAGTATTTTGACTGACAGCCAAATGGCTTTCAACATGAATCATAAGAGAGTCTACATCACCCAACCAAAAGACATGATTTCAAAAGCTATCATTATAAAGACTTCATGTTATACGAATATTCATTATATCTGCATACTAACTTGGATCTGGTTTTCCTGTTTTATGTGGTTCARATGCAAAATACCTTCAAAAAGATTAAAAAATAGACCCTCTTATATACACTGTCATGTTTCCCCATTTCAAACATTTCTTTGTTTAAAAGTTGAGAATGAGAAGACTTTAGCAAATTACACATTTCATTTTAGATCACATGACATTCTCTTRAGATTGTTCTATGACGAACTAGCATGTTAATGTATTTAGACATGAAAGAATCAACTCCCAAGAGTGGCATTACATGGTCTGAAATGTGCACAACAAACAACRAAGCTAAAAAGTTCTATTGAATAAATAATTATTCTTGAAAATTACATGTGGCCAGAAATGAGAAAACAATCATATACCCAAGCTAATAAGGTCTTTTGAATATTATAGTTAATTTATATCTTAACAATTCATGATAATTACTCCGACGAAGGACTAGCGTCCGAATCGTCAGTAAGTTTTTTCATCTTTTCACGGTGTATGATTTACCTTTTTCTCATTACTGTTTCATGATAATAAATTGAGTGAAAGTAAACTTACTCTTTGATGATTGGGCCAAGTTGAGTTCCAAGATCTTCGCAATGGAACCATTTTTCCCACAATACAGAAACACCATCCTCACAAAAATATCTGGAGACATACATGTATATTGTTAGGTCATGTTACACTGTGCAATTTTCTCAGCAACTTGTCTCGCAATGCTTGAAAATGTAGTTTTGCAAATTGCCAAGGTGAGATGTTTTTTTTTGTGACATTTCTTAGCTCCATGGAAAGATATGAGAAATGTGTGCATGCGCTCTTGAAAACTATGCCTTAAGATTGTGAGAAATGTTGTTGGAAGGATAATGCACTGCAATGGTGTTGCTAGTTGCTGCAATCAGTTGCAAAAAGTGGAACTGATTTCTACTGTACTTTGTGAACTGCTAAATGCAATTTAGCAAAACAAAATTGCGAGACAACCCCTGTTGTGCTAAGCTTCTCCAGTAACTTCTCTCACATTGTAGTGTAATGAGGCTTTAGAATACACTCAGTYGATCATGAAAAAAGCATTGTCAGGTTCAAAATGACATAGAAATGACATAGTYATCCTCTGATGTATTTATTTGAGATACACAGTYGATRTGAAATGTGTAGAAGCCTCCAATGAATATATAATAACAGTGATGATGATGATGATGATGACTAAAATAATACTAATAATAGCTAGTACCTAAGCCCATCATACTCTTCAGCAAGTCTTTCTCTCTCTATTACCTGGTAGATTAAAAACAAAGAAAGAATTAATATAGAACCATTTACTAGACTAAATATCATATTAGTTATGCATGCAKGCGAGGGAATTATATGAATGAGGAAAGCTACTTAAGAGTAATATCTGCCAGATCTATACAAATATACAAGAGACTAAAGATATCTAGCCCTTAGCCCCCTCCCCCCACCTTTCAAGTGACAGAGTCATACTTCTTATAACATGTTAGCAAGTCAAAATATATGGTAGAAAGACAAAATAACTTTCTGTGTTTTGAATGTATAAGATAATACACCAAATTGAAATATAACGATCAATTTGAATAACACTATTATATTGTGCTGTACTGACTAGCAACTGACTAGCCTTTCATACATATGTGAAAATGCTTTTTTCATGTGAACACGAGGCTAGTCAGGCATTAGTCAGCAGTGCAGAACAATAAGTTAATATTCAAATTGGTCATCATATTACATTTTTGTGTATAGTTGTGATCACCAGACCAATGGTATTTTCAAATCTCTGTGGTGAATGATGAATTCTGCTGGGAAGGCGGAATATCTAAATTAAAGAAAAAATGAATGAAYTAAGATATGAAGTTTGAATTATATGGTTAACATTAAAGGGACTAAAAGTATTGGTCACTCATCAGACAAGGTCTGGCCAGAAWTGCARCYCTTCCGGTCAAATCTTTGCCTTGCATTAAGTCATTTTGGACAGTAWCATTGAGTCATCACATGCTGAAACAAGGTATGACCAAGCTAAAACTTATTTTGGTTGTGATCAAGACTGCCTGAGTATTTTAAGCCCTGCAATAATACCATACACATTATTATAGGTACCTCTCCCTCCTTGATCAGGATTTCCTTTGGTTTGCCTTTTTCTATCACTTTGAGGCACAYGTCCCCTTTAATTTGGAAGAAGAGCTAAAGAAAATAAAAACAATTACTGTTGTTYTACTCTWACTGTGAACACTTKAKTCTATTTTATTTTTTATTTGTGTAAATATACTTTTAATTTCTTTTTCTTTCATCATTTCATCTCCTTAAATAGGTTTTTTAGACTTTCAAYRCATGTAACTCGAATTCTATTGTTTTYGATTCAAAATCTGATTGGTTGACAAGCCAGACATCTTGAATCATATATAGTTAGTCGTTGTCTCAACTCCATAATTATATGAAAATGGGCTACAAAGCTGTTGGTGTGCAATTTAATTTCTGTCACACAGCTTGCAGCACAACTTGAATTTTTTAGAATAATTTTAAAAAGCTATTTTGTTGCACCTCTTCTCCTTCCTCGATGTGATAGTCTTTTCTTGTGTTTGGACCCCCTACGAACATAACCTTGAGCTGGCCAGCACCATACCTTTATAATAAATATACAATGAACAAATGATTGAATAGATATGAAAATCCAATGAATACATAGAGGTTTTCTCCCCTTTTTTGGGAAGTGGGAGAAAACAAAGAATGAAAATGCCCTTGTAAAAAATTGTTATATTGATCACATGATTTCATTAATTGCATTGTAGCGCTTACGAATGTACAACAGAAAAAGTGACGATTGGGGGCAGTCTCCTTTTCCTCGAGAATGCCAATCCAGCAAAAGAAAAAGACTCTGTCAGCAGGGAAATAATGATGATAATGATGATAATGGTAATAATAACRACARCATGAGTAAAGTGATCAATATAATACCATGGCCACCAACAATGCTTAGTACTACAATTGCTGGGTTTCAATCTGCTGATGAGTCTTTGAACCTCATTATCTGCTCCAMATGGTGGTCAAACACTAACCACCATGCATGTGCTGTCATCCAGAAAGAATCCTATTGAAAACTAGTGATTCTCCTGATGCACATTACACACAAAGACAGGAAAATAAAAAGGGGTTCTCCAGTAGAACCCAACAATAGGACAGGACAAGACTAGAAGCAAACTCCATCACGAAAAAAAAAAGTGTCTTTTTTGGAACTTCATGTTAGGCTTGCGTTCACAATACTTTTGAGAAGGTTTCATTGAATATACAGTACTTTTAACTTAGAAAACTGCCTGTGTGCTGATATATTGCTTTGCCAAATCTAGGGGGTATATTTCTAGACAGCTGGAATCACACTTGARTGAACCAATTATTTCAAGCTATAATGGAATATGTAAGCTCATGCATACCTTGAATGAGTTACAATTTGAGAATATAATTGAATTATTCTAATAGATCTAGACAATATAAAATCATCGACATCCTAGTCTCAAATTTTTTGTGATTCACATCTCGCTTATGCATAGTAATTTGTAAGCTAAGGTTTTATCTTTCTAAACAGAATGCATACACATACATTTGATTTGCTAATGTAATAATTACCACATTGGGAATATAGATCATTTGAATGGTGCTCATTTGAAGTCTCTAGTGTTAATAAGGTGTGCAGCTAACTCAAACGGTGTGTCTAAAATTGGCGCTTAAATTTGCAAAGCTCAAATGCTTCAAATAAACTAGACAAGCTAGAGTATGCAGGTAGCAAAATAATCAATATTGAAAGGAAAATTTATTAGCAGGCAGAGAATTCGTAAAGCTCGTAAAGCTTTGCAATAAAGCCTGGGAATTTTTACTATATTATTTCAAGCTTGTAGAGTGCAAACAATAGAGTGCAAACAATATATCCGTGAAACTTTAGCGATAATAAATAGCACAATTTCATTCAAATTCCATTGTTTTCTATTGTTTAATTAGCACTATTTTGTACTATTTAGTAATTAGTGTTTCACGGATTAATTGTTCGCACGCTAAATTTACAGTTTGAATTGAGCGAATTAAGCCATACATATCTTTAACATTTCAAGGTACAAGCCTGGTATAAGGAAAAACCAGAAGCTAGAGTAAAGACGTATCTTTTAACTTGCGCAGGACGTCGATAAAGATACTCACATAAGCTTGTTGCARACTGGAGGGACGAACGAATCTTTGTTATTATCAACCCATTCCATCATGTTTATCGGTTTTKCTATGGGGGGAACCGGTCGTTTGGAATCTTTTGCATCCTCAACATCAGGTTTGCCTCCTCTTTTAGACATTTTTGTTCTTAAAATTAGGAAAAATCCACGAAAAAAACCTCAAAGCCTCAACAACAGATGAAAACACCACCACTCGCACGCGGAAAACAAGACACACGTGATAATAATAGAAGTAAGACTGGTTGAGAGTCTGTGCATGATTTACCACTGATCACAAATCTTGCGCTCTGATTGGCTGAGCTGCTTGTGGTCTGCTAGTGAGACCTTGTTTTGTGGCAGGGTAGACTAGGGACCCGTCCACACTATACCGGATAAATTTGAATCCGAATTTTTATTTATTCGGTTAGGCCTACCGTCCACACTAGTCCTGGCGAATCCGGAACAATTCTTCATCGAACACGATTTTTTTCGAATACGGTCTCCAGAGTGGATGTTTTTTCGGATACGATGACGTCACGATTGTCATGGGAACATGGCGGGAAGGCTAAAATTTCACCGCGGGCTCAATTTCAGCTTTGATGCACATGCTCAGATGTGCAATGAAGCGTTTTTGCCGCCTTTGATCGGACTAGTGTGGACGCGAAACATTTTATTCTTTTTCTGTGTGGACGGAAAACTTTTTTTTCGGTTTCGGTGTGAAAGTTTCGAATTCCAATTTATCCGGCATAGTGTGGACGGGGCCTGGGATGCCTGGAGGACCTGGAGGACGTGGTTTCAACAGGGCGCTAATTAGGTACCCTGGGTTTCAACATGCATAGTCTGTGGTGTCATGTTATAAGGAAATGTATGGGGATTCATCAAAAATTTCAATAAAATCATTGAAACGTGAAATAAAGCCTCGAAATTTTACCCGAT